CTTCTCTTCTCTTCTCTTCTCTTCTCTTCTCTTCTCTTCTCTTCTCTTCTCTTCTCTTCTCTTCTCTTCTCTTCTCTTCTCTTCTCTTCTCTTCTCCTTCTCCTTCTCCTTCTCCTTCTCCCTCATTTTGTCTCCTCCTTTCCTTGCCTCCTTTTCTGTGTCTGAGCCTAAATAACTGCAGCCTATTGACCCCATTAGGCAGGAGGAGAGAGCTCAGCTGCTGGTGCAGGCGTTCCCGTGGCCGTGAGTGCCCAGCTGAGGTGAAGGATGCACAAACACTCCCCAAACACAAACTGATGCAGAACTCCTGCTGCTGCACCCCCTGGAAAGATCCTGTCTGGAAGCAGGCTGCAGTGCTAAAACTGGCCTGGGGCCAGTGGTGAGTGCCTCGACTGTTGCCATGGTGTTACAACTACTCATTATTGTAGGAAAATATCACACAAAGAGGTGACAGACATTGATGCCAGATCCAGGGCAGGTAGATGGGGAGGAGCTCAGGGGCTGGTTGCAGTAGCCAGGTGAGCCTCTCTCAAGAAAAAGTTCACTCTTATTTTCCAAACCTTTTAATTAAAAAAAAAATTTAAAAAAAAAAAATTAAGGAATAAGAGAGGATTTGGGCTTTGTTCCTGTTGATTCTCAGTGCACAGGAAGCTGAGAGCAACGTGAGGTGGTGAGTGCTGGGCGAGGCAGCCTGGAGAGCTGCCCAGGGATGAGCCCAGCTGCTTTGCAAGGCTGAGGGAATGCTGACAGCACTGTTGACCACTTGAATTAGGGGCAAGCCCTGAGAGCTGGGTCCCTCTGTGACATCTCGCCCAGCCTGTGCCAGACTCAGAGCTGCGAGCAGTGGGTTTATATAATTTCAGCTGCAGGTAGCTGAGAAAGGCAGAGCAGAGCTGACAGCCCCGCTGCCGGCCCCGGGAAACGCTGAGTGTGTCTGAACAGAGCAGGCTGCCCTCAGCCAGGGAGCAGAGGGATGTGCTTTGGTCCTTTCAGCACAGGAGCTGGCTGCTGCTTACACCATCTGCATCAGTTAAAGATGAACATCCGTCCCGTGCCCCTGCGGCTGCTGGCTGGGCTCTCCAGCCAGGCCCCTGGCATCCCCAGGCCCTGCTCCAGCCTAGCCTGGGCAGCACCCACCTCTTCTTCTGCACACCTCCAGCAGAGCTGCTCTGCTCTCACAGCTCCAGCTGCCTGTGGCTGACACGTTGTCATGGATGAGAAATGCATGGATTATGTTCAGAATGGATAATAGTGATATTTCCTATTGAAAGCACAGAATCACAGAATCCTGGAAGGGTTTGGGTTGGAAGGGACCCTAAATCTCCTCTCATCCCACCTCCTGCCATGGGCAGGGGCATCTTCCACTATCTCAGGTTGTTCCAAGCCCTGCCCAAGAGCTGGAACATTTCATGGGATCCAGCAGCCACAACATCTCTGGGCAGCCTGTGCAACTCTCTCAGTGAAATTTAACCTGCTGGAAAACAAACACAGCGAAGAATTCACTTTACATTTGGAAAGCTGCGTTTTGAATTTTTTAGCTCAAAACTGCAAGTAACGGAGAATCCAAATCGGGAGAATTTGTAGGATTTACAGTATAAATTATTAAACGGGAAAGAAAAAGACGTTGCTCATGAAAAGCGCATTCTCGTCGATCAAAGCTGCAAACAGAGAGCGCTTTTGTAAAGGCATCTGCCAGCCTTTGATACGCTCTGCGGAGAGCTTGTCGGGTCTCCGGGAGCGGAGCGCGGAGCTGTCGGGCTCCGGTGCTGCGCCCGCTCCCCTGACAGCTCGGAGGCAGCAGAGGGGTGAGCCCAGCCCAGGGGCTCCTGCGCTGCCCGGAGCGGCTCGGGAGAACCGCGCAGGAGCGGGAACCTCCCCAAAAGCATCCCGGTGGAGGAGCGGAGCTGCGGCGGGCCGGGGCTCGGCAGGGGCTCGGCAGGGCTCGGCAGAGGCTCGGCAGGGCTCGCACGGCTGGGCTGCCGTCAGTGTCAATGCCGATGTGCGCTCATGAAAGGCTCAGCTGGCCCGGCCCGCTGCTCGCTGAAAGCAGCACCTGCCGGCGCCCGGATCCCATTCTCCGGCAGCGGCTCAGCTGCTGCAGAGCGGGGCTGGGAGGCAGATGAGCCATTGATGCAGAGTGGGATCCACGACAACGCAGCAGCTCCTTTGGTGAATACAAGCATCTTTGTCAAGGGCCCAGATGGTTGAGAGCGGGGCCGCGGCTGTGAAAGGCGCCGTTGTCGCTCGGGCTCGCAGGCGCCGCTGCCAACGCGCCGGGCAATGTGCTGGGAGCTGCGGGACCCGGCCTCGCACAGAGGGAGGGTCCCGGCCCTGCTGCCACGCTTTCTGCCGGAGGATGTCCTTCCCGGGCTCCCACCGCTGCCTGCAGTGTCACGTTATGTTCCCGCTCTGCCCTTTGCCCCAGCTGGACATTTGGATTTAGGGCCTGCTGGATGCCGAGGTCAGCAAGCCTCGGCCTCGGCGGTGCCTCCGTGGGCACAAGGGTCACAGAGGCGTGCCCAGCCTGGCAGGCAGCCCTGGCACAGCCAGCCTGGCTGGGGATGGGGCAGCAGGCTGGGGAGACCCATCTCTGCTCAGCCATCCTGAGGTAACCCTTGAACACAGGATCCTGGGGGAGCCCAGCCCCACACACGGAGGGTCAGGGATGGATGGGAGAGCCTGGAGAGCCGCGGGCCTGAGGGCAGCTGTCCTTCCTACATGGACAGGCACGCAGAGAGACACGGCCCTGCAGGCAGCAGTGACCTGGGAGCAGTGAGGAGTGTGGCTCTGTAAAGCACCTTTCTGGCTGGGAAGCAGGGAATGGGCAAAGCTGGAGCAGAGGGCGTGTGCGGAGAGGCTGGAGCTGTGCTCCATGAGAGAGAGAGGCTGGTGCTCCTGGGGGAGGGTGGGAGCTGCACCGAAGCCTGGGAATGCAGAGGGGAGCCGAGCCAGGAAGGTGCAGAAGGAACAGGGCCTGTGGTGCAGGACACACTGGGGACAGCTTAACGGGTCCTCACTGCGCCCTGCTGGGTGTTTGTGGGTGTGTGTGGAGCCAGGGTGGTGTGGGGAGCGCTGCTGAACCTCTCGGTGGGGCCGTGGGGGATGGCTCTGGGGAGTGACACCCACACAGGGCGATGGCCGGGGCTGCAGGATTCCCATCCTCCCTGGGTGATGCTGATGCTGCCACCAGGTATTTCACTGCCCCAGAGCAGCACCCGCTGCATCCCGTCAGCACCGATGGATCTTGGAGTCCATTTTGTCCAAAAGCCAGAAATTTAAAGGTTTCCTTCCATGACAAATGAACACCAAGGGACAAGCTCGCATCCCGGGGGCCACGTTGGCACTTTGGCTGGCTCTGCTGGAAGGAGCACGGCAGCTGCCAACCCTCCGTGGGGATCCCAGCCGAGTAATGGAACTGGGCTCTGACAAGAGAGCTGGGCACAGGTTGGTGCTTTGGCAGGGACCGTGGGCGGCTGGGTCACTCGCAGTCACCTGCTGTCCTTGGGGTCGCAGAGTCCCTGGGGCAGCCCCCGCCCCTCTGATCGGGGCCCTGGGTTGCGGGTACCCCGTGCCACATGTCCGACCCCGCTCGGCATCCCCGGCAACGCTCGGTGCCACCGCGGTGCCCGAGCCGGGGGCACCCGCTCTGCCCTGCCCCGCTGCCCCGGGTGCGGGGCAGCCCCTGGGCGGGCGCCGGGCCGCGGGCAGCGGCCGGAGGAGCGGGCGGCCGCAGCCGCACCGGCCGCCCGGTGCCCGCGGTGCCGCCCCCCGCTCGCCGCCGCTCCCCTCCCGCGCGGGGCTCCCGGCGGAGGCGGCGGGGCCGCGCCGCCCGTGCCGCATTGGTTTGCGGCGGAGCCCGTCACCGCCGCCGCGCCGAGATTGGCCCCCGCAGCCGGCAACGGCGACCCCCGGGCCCGGCCTCCTCCCCGCCCGCCGAGCGCCGCGGCCCGGGCAGGGCTCGGGCTCCGCGCTCCGCGCTCCGCGCTCCGCTCCGCGCCGCCCGCAGCGGGGGCAGGGCCGGGCCGAGCCGGGCGGGGGGCGCGCCCACAGCCCCGCCCCGCACCGCCCCGCACCGCCCCGCACCGCCCCGCAGCGGGATGTGAGCCCCGGCTCCGGCAGCTCCGCCGCCCCGCGCCCCGGGAAGATGCTGAGCAGGTGGATGAGTGGCAGCAGCAGGAACCTGGACCGCGAGTACAACTGCACCGTGCGGCTGCTGGACGACAGCGAGTACACCTGCACCATCCAGGTCAGCCTCCGCGGCTCCGGCTCCGCGGCCGCGCTGCCGCCCGGCCCGGCAGACAAAAGGAGCGAGCGGCGGGGGCGGCCCGGTGCTGCCCCGCGCCGCCAACAAAGGCGGCCCCCCGCCCCCGCCGCCCGCCTTCCCCCCGCCTCACCGAGCCGCGGCTGCCGGCGGCGGGAGCGCCCCGGGGCTGAGCCCCGCCGCCCGCGACCCCCCGGCCGCGGAGGGGTGCGGGGATGGCGCGGAGAGCCGCCCGCCTGCCCGCGGCGCGGTGATGCCCGCAGCCCCAGGAGCGCAGCCGGAGCCGGAGCGGGGCAGGGGCGGCCGTGCCGGGCTGGGGGGCCGGGAGAGCCGCGGCCGTGCCCCGCGGAGCCGCTCGGGGCGAGCCCTCCGCCGGCGGGGAGGACGCGGGTGCCAAGGGGAGTGCGGGGGATGCGGCGGGGCCCGCGGGGCAGCGCTGCTGCGGGGCGGGATGCGCGGGGGTGCGGCTGGCACGGACGGACCCTCGCGGCCCCGCCGCGGCCGGGCGCCGCTCTGCCTCCCCCGTTAGCGCCCGGCTGGCCGGGCTGAGCGCTCGGGTTTTGTAATCGTCCGGAGCGGCGGGGACGGGCGCGCATCGCCGCCCCCCGCGCCCCCGTGCCGGCAGGGACCGGCACGGGCACCGGCACCGGCAGCGGCACCGGGAGGCACGGTCGGGGCCGTCGCCCCTCAGCCGGGGTCCCTGTGCCGCCGGGGCTGCGAGGGACATGGCTCGGCGAGCAGATGTCGCGGGATGTGTCGTATTGCTGAGAACTAGGGAACCGCGCTCCCGGGCTCCGCTGGAGCGAGTCCGGGACCGGGACCGTGTGACCGGGGGCTGAGAGAAGCATCCCTGGCTCCGGCTGCTCCTGCGCCTCATTCCTGCCGTCAGCAGCATCCTTGCGAGGGAGCTCACGAAAACCTGTGCGGAGCCGCACGCGCGGGGATTGCTGCTGGAGGCGGCTGGCCCCAGCCCAGCCCGTGGGCGATGGAAAATTCGGGGCAGAGTTTTGAGTAAAGGTGACTCAACACGTCAGTAGCAACAGCTCTCCCCGCCCAGCCTCGGGGCCCCCCGTTCTCCCTGGCCTGTGATGCCAAGGAGGGGTGAACATCCTTCCATTCCTTCCATTCCCAGGCACGAACCCGCTTCTGGTGATCATGCCAAAGGACGGTTACCAAGGGTGCTGCAGGCTACGGGAGGCACCGTCATTTTGGCTTCAACAGCCGAAAATCGATAAATAGGGTGATTTGTGCAAATACCGCCGAAGAATGGTGGTAGTGCTGCCGGTCCCCGCTCACCTCCCCCACCGGGGTTGTAAAGTGTGACCCAGTAAACGGCTCGAACAGCAGCCCAGTTTATTTTGCATAAGCCAAACTAATTCGTCTCTCAGAGGTTGTTTTTAATACTAATTAAATGGGAAACTGTCGTTCGGGAGAGAAAGTGTGGGCAGAGCAGTTCAGAAAAATCTGGATTTTCTGCCCTTAAGACAATTTGACAAGGTGTCGTCATTTTGCATGTCAGTTGTTTTTTTTTTTTTAAAGAGAAAATATTACTCGGGCCCATATTCCGGTTGATATTTTATGTGTAGCATAGTAAACAGGGATTCCTGATATTTAGCATGCGCGACCTGAGGGATGGAGAATTTGCTCCTGCTACCCTGACAAGCAAGGTTACCCCACTTAAATGTTTGCTCTCGCTCGCTTTCATGCTGCCTTATAAGCCAAGTATTTATAGTCCATGCGAAATTAGGGAGAACATAGCAGGAATGTGTAATGTCTCGCAAGTGAGGAAAGCGTCACCGCGCAGGCTGCGAGCGCTGAATGAGTTTTGAAGGTCATTCCCTCACGGGCGCAGGGATTTCACATCCTGCCGAGATGCTCGGTGTCTCCTCAGCCAGGCTGGTGCTGCCCTGCCGGTGTCACCGACGTCTCTGTTCCTGC